ATCTTGAATGGAATCAGCAGGTGGCTGATTTGCAAATGAGGGCTATCAAAGGGTTCTTGGGGCTGGACACGGATGAATGAAGATCTGCCAGGACGGTCATGTCCTGGGGCAAGCCCGACCCCCTGCTGGCATTTACTGCCCTCACCTGTGTCAGCAAGGCATATATGCTGGGATGGGGGCAGGGGCATATGATGGAACCTTCTTCCTGTGTGACACTAACCTAGCTCACCAGCAAGACCTTTTGGACAAGACAAGTCTTTCTGAACTCTGCAATCAAGAATGTGATTGGCTGAGACCTGCTGGAGAGGCGTGTTCTGACAACAGAGACAAACCCATGGCTTCTGTGAATGAGTGAGAGAATGGTGTACGGTAGCTAGCTCAAGGATCCTGACCCCCTCCAATCCCCTCTCCAATTCCCTTCATTGTAATTAGAATGTATGTATATCCCTATTTGTAACTAAACCCAACGCTTATTTAAGATTCAGTTCTTCATCAGTAATTTAAGGCACCCCCAAAGCAGAGCACATTCTACAGCCTACTCATCCACATCATTGGTTACTGAGAGGCTGTCAGCTGTGCCGCCAATGGTGTCTTGGTAACCAGTGACTCTGAATGTGACCGGAGGCAAGTCATTGTTTGCTAAGGTGCCGTTGGCTGCACAGCCATCTGTCTTTTGGCAACCAGTGGACGAGGCCTTGTATGGAGAAGCTGAGGGATTAGTTCCCAATCAGGTCCACCTCCCTTGTGACTGGAATCAGGTAGTGGGAGGATTCTTTAGCCAATAGCCAGCCTGTTATAGGCTAAAGAACCTGCTGACTGCCATCAGGCTCCACCCATTTGTAGCATCATTGGTTGTTAAGGGCGATGTTGGCTGCAAGCGACAGCATCCTTAACAACCAGTGATGCTGGCAGTGGGGGCAAAGCCTAAGGCCGTGACACACTGCACGCGAGGCAGCGCGGAGCGAGCAGTGTGTCATGTAATTTTCTGCTCGGCACCTCAGCTTGCGAGAGCTCGCGGAGCTGAGCGTGCCGAGATGAACAATTTCAACTTCAGCCAATCGGCTCGCGTGTTTAAACCAGCGCGTCGCGATGCGACAGCTGGCAGGTTGTTACGGACGAGCCGATTGGCTGAAGGTGCTGTCAATCATCTGACTGCACTCAGCTCACACACTGCACGCAAAGCTCCGTGCCGGATAGCTTTGCTTCGCTCTGCACGGCTTCGCGTGCAGTGTGTCACGGCCTTTATGGGAGGACTTTGAGCCTGGTACCCCGTCAGGTCCACTCTGCTACTGATTGACAACAGGCAGCCTGCTATTGGCTATGGAATCCACCCACTGTCTGCTATTGAGCAGCAGAGCGTACCTGATGGGGAACTAGTACATCAGCATCCACATCAGGCTCTGTCCACCCACAGTGTAAGTCCTTAGCCGATGAGCATGCAGTGGCCGGGCAGAGAGCTCGGTGACAATCCATCTGTGATAAAGTCGCCGGGAGTCTGTTTAAACAGCCCCGATGCTGGCGACGTACACTGTCACGAAGGGGTTAAGAAGTAGGTCAGGCAGCCTCGGTGGCTCTCACAATGGGTTTCCTAATAAATATAGAACTGGATTCATTGGGAAATCTTCATCTTGTTGATCAGGTTTGGTTTGTCAGGACTATGGTCCCGAGCTCGGTGTGAGTTTCCTGTCCTCTGTGTTTGGTCCGTTTGTAATCTGCCCGCAGGAGGAATCCTGTCCACTCCATCCAGGGCGCCTCCTTCCCGGGGTGTGTGTGTGACCAAAAAGACGACCTCTTCCGCCATTGTCCCGGGCTCGCTGCATGTCTGCCAGAAGGCGGCACAATTACAATGTGGGTATTAGCACTAAAGAGCCACAAAATAAGTGAATTGGAAAATAATTGGAAGTCGGTGGAGGGATTGGTAGAGAGGGGTGAGGGATGGAAGCCAGTGGAGGGATTGGTAGAGAGGGGTGAGGGATGGAAGCCAGTGGAGGGATTGGTAGAGAGGGGTGAGGGATGGAAGCCGGTGGCGGGATTGGCAGAGAGGGGCGAGGGATGGAAACCAGTGGAGGGATTGGGAGAGAGGGGCGTGCAATGGAAGCCAGTGGAGGGATTGGGAGAGAGGGGCGGGGAATGGAAGCCAGTGGAGGGATTGGGGGAGAGCGGCGGGCAATGGAAGCCAGTGGAGGGATTGGGTGAGAGGAGAAGGGGATGGAAGCAGTGGAGGGATTGGCAGGGAGGGGTAGTGAACACAGAGCGGTGGGTTAGGT